TTGGTCGGCTGGCTCTCATTGGTTTCCTCGTCTGGCGTTTGGACTGGTCTAGCCTCCTGCTCGAACTTTGGCTCCTTCTTCTTGTTGCGACCATCATCAACTTCCTCTGAGGAATCATCATCGGAGACCAACTCAACTTCGATGAACTTGTCAGGGAGATCCGGCACCCGCAGCTCTTCACAAGGGTTGCCCATCAGAATTGTAGGGGTGTCACCAAGAAAGGAATTGATCTCGGCAGGAGAACCCATTTGGGGGATCGCATTGCACAGAGCATTGAACAAAGGAAGTTGCTCGGTCGAGAGATGCGGCACTCCATTTTTCATCTCCTCATGCAGTGCCCAACGAGGATCTTTCCTTAAAAACTGCCCTCTCCATCGTTTCGAGAGCAGCGACGGCTACGCCATGGCCACCCAACTGCTTGGCTGCTTCACTGATACCCAACATGACATTGGCCATCCCACTAGTAGGCAGCATTCTTGACCAGAAAGCAACTAGACATTGGTGAAGTTTGGTTTTGTACAAATGGGTTTCCCCATATTCCCTCATCTTGGCTTCCAACTCACTATACTTTGATCAGAGGGAGACCAAATCTTTCTCTTTGGCAGCAAGTTTTACCTACTCCTTGATGTACTTTTTCTTCAGATCCAGCCATGCTACTTGTTCGTTTAGTCTCTTCTTGCGGAGCAAGAAGCTAATCATCGAGGTGCTCATCTGTAAGGGCCACGAACAGTATTTTATTAAGTTACCCAACTAAAGTGCCCTTCTAATCGAAGCAAGGCTAAAAGCTTACCAGTTTCAATGTCTCCTCCTCTGTCATGGCTGCGGCATTTTCCTCAAGTATGGGGCACTCGATTCTATCGTCCCAATGTGATATACGACAGCCACAGAAGTTTAACTTGATGACACGGGGGAATTGACGGTGCCCTCGACTGTATCTTTTTGCTCCTCCAAAGAAGGTTTTGGCACCGGGAACTGGTCGAATTCTATTTTTGTAGAAGGATGCGTTTCTTGGATTGGTTTCTCAGGATTCTGTTTGGACACCTCGACCTCCGTGGGAATTATCTTCTGGGGAGTAACTTCTTTCTCGAGCAAGCTTTCTTTCTTGAGAGGATGGTCATGCTTACTCTTCTTTTTCGACTCCACGTCCGACGCTTTGGCTGTTTTCTTCACTTTCCTTTTTTTCTTCGCAACTCTGGTGGATGATCCTTCGTCATCTGAGTTTTTCACATAAAAAATCTTGATATCACCAAACAATCCTATGGTATTTCTACTTGACGATAGAACCTAAAACAGAGAAAAGTAAAAAGGAGTTTCTACCTTCCTTCTCCTCGACAGGAACTGGAGGAATATAATGCTAAACGTCGAGCCACATGATAAATTTGTCATATTTTTCCATGGCATTGATATCTGTCATGTACTTCTCTATCATGGCCTTGTCAGTCATGGTCTAGTCATCAATTATAACGTCTAGCCACTTTGTTTCTCGATGATTTCAAGCTACACATAATTATCTAGGGCTTTCATGTACAAATAATCGGGTTTCCAAGTTGGGGCACCATCGAAGAGCTTCACTATCTGAATCGCTCTCGACTTTGGGTTTTTTTTCACATTATACCAATCCCTAAACTTCGTTGAGGGAATGCAGACCTTGAAAAAGTATCTCCATACAAGTAATCGAGGTCTTATGTTTACCAGCTCACACAATTTTACAAACCCGAGGACAACAGTTACTAAATTTGGCGTAAATCGAGCAATGTGTATTTTATAATGTTGAACAATAGCTCCAAATAGAGGAAAAAGGGGGAATCAAAGCCCTAAGAACATATATCAATCATAAACATTGATTTTTCCTTCTAGTGGAGTATTAGCCCGTTCATTTCCTACAGGGCTTGATATTCTAGATCTACGGGGATATTGTATTTCTCAGCCACAAATCTAGCTTTCTAGGCATAATCAATAGAGGATCCAAAATCAGAAACAGAGGCCGATTCGGCCATATCTACCAGAATATATGCTAAAAACAACGAGATTCAACAACAAAAAGTGCAGAAAAGTATAGCAAAGATCTTCGGAACTCACTTTGATCATTTTTTGAGGTTGACCTTTTGAGTTGCAGCCTCCTAGGATAACACTAGTCCTCGGCAGCGGTAGAAATTGGATTTTCCGGTAACGGATGCATATGAGTGTTTCGGCCAGTGATGTTGCTAGAATAGTGCAAAGAGCTTCGAGGATTTTTTGCCTAGTTGTTTTGGAGGGAGTTGGCAAATGAAAAGCATTTGAGAATCTTTCCTTGATATAAACAATCCTACTCTCACACGACTTGACAGTTTGGGCGGGGTTTAAGCAATAGCAATAATGATAGAGCCGTCGTTTTGGAAACGTGCACATTACTGGGGCACGATCTCAGTTTGGGCAGGATTCTAAAACGGGTCATCTCCTTGGTTCGGATCTCCACCCGCATGTAATTCCGTCAAGTCTAGTTCGTGGAGATTGGGCCAAGGCTTGTCCATTCAACATGGGCCGAGTCTAGGTCAGTTTTATTTCATATCAAGTCTTGTTTATTCCATACAAAAAACACTTGACAACGCCACTTGACGAGTCCATAGCCATCAAGGATTACCGGACTGGCCCATCCATCAATTATGGTCCAACCGACCTTACAGAGGCGTTTTAGAAATAAGAAACATAACGGGATTCGGCATCCCTCAAGGTACTTTCATGCCTATAAATAGGATTGATCACATCATAATACGAGTATGCTACCTCTTGCTCCAGTAACCTTATATACATTATTCCTTAACCCGATTTTTTGAGTTAAGCATCAGAGTGTCTACACTCAGGAGATCTCCGAGGCTCTGTTTTGTAGGAAACTCTAACCGGAGTTCCACTGTTAAGCCGGTAGTACAATTCCAGCCTTCGTCAATATTTATAGAGTTTTAGAAAACTCTTGAGAATTAGACATAACCATTGATTAGTGCCTTTTATGGTATGATCATAGACATAATTGAGTCCATTTTTAACGTGAGTTTCAGAGTCTTAAGCTTATCATCATATAATTATTCACTTCTCTTTCTAATGTGATTTGTTACAATGCATAAGGAAGAAAAATCTTGGACCATACAACGTCGTTGCCTGTATGGAAGTTTCGGAATAAGGCACTTAGTTACCTTTGTTTTCAAATAACAGTGCATAGTGTAGAGTATTCACCGTCGGCAACAGTGACTGATTTGCATCACTCATGGTAGACATCTCGTTGGGTGGGAAAGTTTGCCAAAAGATTTAAAATTGCTCCATGCCTATGACGAGTATTGAACCATCAACATATGATTAAAAGTGAAGAAGTTCTTATCACTCCACCACAATCCGTTTGATTGTATCCTAACTTTGTTAAGAATTTCTTCATCAACTCCACGTAGGCCGCTACCTGATTTCTTTGTCTTGTTTCTCAAAGAGTGGCCCAAATTGCAAAATGAAAGGTCTTCTTGCAAAATTCTTCATCTCAAGAAGCCCATCTTCATTTTCTGGCCTTTTGACTATACGGAAACTTTGGAAAAATCAGAATGTGACATCTACTTTTGTCCCAAGGGGACACCTTAAGTTATGAGGACTTCTTCTTTTTGTACTCCTTCCGAAAATTAATTCTATCAAAATCCATAATACTTGCATTTTCCTCTCCTGAAGCAATAATGCCACAAACTAAATTACGATCACAAAATAGGACAAAATAATTACCGAAATCTCATATACAGTATGTATAATATAGATGTAAGTAAGGAATCAACAACTTTGATTAATTTTGTTGAAAATCATCAAAAGGCTATTACTAAAATAGTTCATAGTTACTCATTTTGGTATGCTAATACTAGTTTGATAGTGCACTATGGTTTTTGTCGGTCTCAATCATCAAATTGTGGCTATTACTTTAAATTAAGATGGCAAATTAATTAGCGGGTGTAGTATAGGCAAATAATAACAAGCACCTAGGTATACATTGCAAGATGTACCTCATGAGCATGTGTAATACACACTCCTTCTACACAAGTTGATTTATTTTTTTCCTAATTTGCAATTATATGCGCATTAAATCCTCCAATTCTCATCCCATTTTTTTCTCACACATTTAATTTTAAACTGTTTTTTTTTTTACTTATCCTGTTATCTTTTATATTATTTTATTTTATGAGCCTTTTTTTTTTATAGCTATGGATTTTATTTGCTAAAATTGAAAATGATTCATCATCCAAATTTATAAATCCGAAGAATCAATTGGAGCAAAAAAATTTGAAATGATTATCAATGAAATCTGGAGAATTCAGCGTCAAATATGGAAGATTTTAATAGATAACGATGTTTGTTTGGATGAATAATAGTATTCTCATCGATCAATAATGCTAATATTGTGGATGAATAATGGTGTTTTATAGTGACAAAGCTATGGATAAATAAATTTAATATTTTGAAATGAATATAGATATCTACAAAGATGAATAATGAAACAAATGTTAATGAATAATGATCCCATCCAAGATGAATAACAATAATAAAATGAAGAATAGATATATATTTGCATGATGAATACACATATCTATGGAATGAATAACACATGTTTAAACGATAAATGAGATATCTTTACAAGATGAATAACACTATTTTACATTATTATTAATAACACGTGTTCATCCTGATGAGCATTTCTTTTTCGTTGATCAAACAAACAGAACATTACAATAAGTGAGATTTCACATTCAATCAAAACTCTGTAAACATCAATAAGAATGCTATTGAAGATGAATAATCGTTTTGAAAATGATGAATAAATATTAAAATTACATAAATCAAATCCAGTTGATAACATTGGTGTATGGTACTTATTACATGATGAATAACAACATAACCAATTGATAACAATCCAGTTTCTTAAATAATAAAAAACCATACATTTAAACTCCGCTCTCTTTGCTCTTGTCTCTCGGTGCACGTTAAACTAACGTGCGCCAGCCATGGCAAGGGTACGACCCAAGGGGAGGAATGCTCACAAATCAGAGGAAAATCAACAATTGAAGGTAGATGAAGGGTCGTGAACAGAAATTCAGCGATGACATCACAAAAGGATACAGATCTGGGTGAAATAAGGACATAGAGGATAGACAAAAAGGGGTGTATTCGACGATTGAAACTGGAGAGGGAGCTAGATCTGTGAAGCACTTGGAATCTGGTGAACAAGATACAACCTTCAAAGATCGATTGGGAATAAATCCCTCAAGAAAGCTTGAGTGGCCAGAGGAGAAACCGAAGGAAGCGACAACTACAAACACTGCCTGGGCTAATTTTGATGCCAGCAAAATGAAGAAGGTGAGACTTCCTTTGATCTATGTTCCCCTAGAAGAGGTGGAAGGGAAAAAAGTAGCAACAGTACAGAAAGCTGCGGTGGAGCCGGAGGCAGAGTATTGGTGTTCTTCTGTTATCAGCTTTGTTCTGGGGGCAAATCCCCCGTTCAAAGTCTGGAAGCATCTAAACATCAAAAAGGTACTTCTCCTACGACCTAGGCTATTTTTAATTCGATTTACACCTGTTGAAGGTAGAGATGAAGCTCTGAGAGTACCTATTTATCACATGGGGGTAAATCCTGTAGAGAAGGGGTTTAATTATATGGCTATCAAGCATGCCCGGTCTTGCTACGATTTCATGGGTTGGATCTTTAATTTGGAATCATGATACTCTAAGTTGAATAGCAACTACGTTGGGCACTTTTTCATGGCAGATGAGCCTACTTCTCATAAAGATAGGGCAGCTTATGCTCAAGTATTGGTTGATGTTGAGATACAGGATCATCCCCCCTTAATTGCTCATTTTGTGTACGAACTTGGTATGGTTAGGGAACAGCCAGTGTATTACGAGTGTCGTCCTATCCAATGCAACTATTATAAAAACTTTGGACATAGAGGGGAGGATTATAAGAAAAAGATCAGTTCTGAGGAGGCCAAAACTATTGAGAAGCTGAATCAACATAAACAGAAGCCAGTATTGTCTGAGTGGAGAATAGTGCAAAGAGGAAAAGGCATAAATGTTGATGAGAAACTTGAGACTCCACCACCAAGTAACAAGTCTGTGATTACTCTGAAGGAGACCATAGAGAAATCAAGGTAGGTTGATCAAAAGAAGCTAGTGCTAGAAACTGATACCAGTACCCATAACAGCTTCAATGTGTTGACTCGGTTGTAAATGGAAGTGAAACAACATCATGCAAAGGAGATACTTGTAGAGAGTATGGAAGTGGAGCAAACAATTTGAGAGGGCATTGTTGGGAATCTCAGCAGCTTAATCCTATTTTGAATGAATAGTATTTTACATTGGAATATAAGGAGGATGAACAGCTAACTAGGGAAAATAGTGTTATGTTTGGTTGAATCTATTCTAAGTTTAATATCAATTTATTGTGTTTGGTTGAAACTAAGCTAACTAGGGAAAGGGTAGAGGAGATTAGGAAAAAATATTGGCAAGGGTTAGAAGTGTTTGTTAATATATTGGGATAGTTGAGGGGTAGAATTTGCTTAGTATGGAGTCCTTGAGTAATCAAAGTGATTATATTGAGTTGGAGCAACCAGTATGTTCACTGCCCGATGGAACCGTATAATGGTGGGGATAGTTTTTCATTACTGCAGTGTGTGGGTCTAATAGCATCCAGGAAAGGGAGTTGTTATGGGAGTAGCTAATCGGACTGGCACATACCATTGTCAATCCTTGGATAGCTGTGGGAGACTATAATAATGTGCTGCGAGTGGATGATAGAATAGGGGGAAATGGTGTTACTGTTGCTGAAATCCAAGGCTTCCAACGTTGTGTGATCGAGTGTGCCTTTCAAGACCTGAAGTAGCAAGGACAGAGATTTACTTGGAATAATAAACAAGTAGGTCTGATCGAATCTGGTCTAGAATTGACAGAGTATTAGTGAATGGTGAATGGGTGTTGAACTTCCGAAATTCAATTGCGACAGTGTTGGCAAAGGGTATTTTTTTATCACTCTCCCATCCTTGTCCAGTTGGAAAGAGACATAAGCAAGCAACCAAAGCCTTTTAAATTTTTTAACATGTGGTGCCAAGCTGATAACTTTTGTGATGTAGTTAAGCAATGTTGGACACAGCCTGTGGTTGGCAACTGTATGTTCCAGTTGGCCCAGAAGCTGAAGAGACTGGAGTTTCCTCTAAAAAGGCTGAACAAGGAGCGATTCTCAGAGATACAAGTCCAAGCCAAGGAATGGGAAATGCAATTAGAAAATATCAGAGAATGGCTCATGATTTCCCAAGGGATGTTGTATTACAATTGAAAGAACGAGAATCATACCAGAAATGCATTGAGGTTAGCAAGGCACTGGAAAGCTTTCTTCACCAAAAGGCAAAGGAGCAATGGATTAAAATGGGAGATACTAACAACACCGTCTTTCATGCGAAGATGAAGATAAGTCGAATGCAAAACAGAATATGTTTCATAGTCACGGAAGATGGGAAGCTAGTATGCCACTGGAATACTGTGCAAGCTCACTTTATTGACTTCTTTCAGCGACAACTAGGGCAGCAGAGTAGCAGGCAGAAGTCTAAAATGTTTATCTTCAGTTATGGCCTAAGTTGGACTAGAAGAAACAACTAAAGCTGCTAAGGCAAGTTGATGCACATGAGATCAAGAAGGTGTTGGTGGAGTATTCACAGTGGGAAAAGCCCTGGTCCAGACGGGTACGGGAGCGGGTTTTTCAAAGAAGCCTGGAATGTTGTTGGGGAGGATCTTACAAAAGCAAAATTGGAATTTTTTGAGAATGGGAGGTTGCTATGATATTGGCCTTAATCCCAAAAACAGATGCCCCGCAAAATGCTGGTGAGTTCCGACCTATCACCTACTCCAACGTCGTGTACAAGATCATCTCCAAAGTACTATGTGCCAGATTGAAGGAAGTACTACCACATCTGATTAACTCCAATCAGAGTGCATTTGTAAGTAACCGTCATATCTTACATAATGTACTTCTTACCCAAGAGTTAATTAAATTATATGGTAGGAACAATGTAAGTGGTCGGTGCATGTTGAAAATTGATATTAAAAAAGCATATGACTCGTTGGAATGAGATTTCATTGAGGAAGTACTTGTAAGCTTTAATTTTCCTTCAACTTTTATCCAGTTAATTATAGAATATGTGAGATCTCCAACATATTTGTTAGGGCTGAATGGGGAGAATTGTGGATATTTTAAAGGGAAGCGGGGACTTAGGCAGGGTGACCCTATATCGCCACTTTTGTTTGTTATGGCCATAGAGTACCTGACTAGGTTATTGAAAAATATTGCTAATGACCCTAGATTTCAGTTTCAACCCCAATATAAAGCATTAAAACTCACTACATCTGCTTCGCAGATGATTTGATGATATTTTGTAAAGCCGATAGATATTCTGTGCAGAAAATTATGCAGGCTTTGCAGGAATTTTCGACCACTTTTGGTCTTTATGCTAATTCCAGCAAGTCAGCAATCTATATTGGTGGTGTGTCAGACGAGTTCAAACAAGGCTTGTACAAGCTCTTAGGTTTCAGTGAAGGAAGATTTCCGATGAAATACCTTGGGGTTCCACTTTCTCCAAGAAAGTGGAATCAAATTGAATGTAAAGTTTTGATCCAGAAAATGGTGACTAAGATTAGATGTTGGAGCTCTAGACACTTGAGCTACGCAGGAAGAATCCAATTGATTAATATAGTCCTGATGGCGCTGAACAACTAATAGGCTCAGGTATTCATCATTCCTAAGAGTATCACTAAATAGGTTAATCAAGTGTGCAGGGATTTTGTTTGGGGGATTAAAATAAATGGAAGGAGCCTTCCTTTAGTCAGCTGGGACCTTGTTTACACAACAAAGAAGGCAGGAGGCCACGATATAAGAGATGCGCAAGTTTGGAACGAAGCAGCTTTGATAAAGCAAATCTTGAATCTGGCATGTAAAGCAGACAACCTGTGGGTTAGCTGGATACATGGCATTTACTTGAAAGAGGACATATGGAACACCCAACCTAAGCAGGACTCGAGCTGGCATTGGAAAAGATTGCTTAAATTGAAGGAAAAGATAAAAGGGGAAGTGGTTGATAACAAAATGAATGCATAATGCTGATGGCAGGTATACTATTAATTCTGGGTATAATTGGTTAATTGCCAAGCAACAACAATGCCTTGCATCTGATTTCATTTGGGTGAGGTATAATGTACCGAAGCACTCATCTATTGTTTGGCTTTGTTGGAAGAACTGACTATTGACTAAGGATAGAATTAGTAAGTTCCTGTTGGTGTAGATTGACCCTTTATGTGTGTTGTACGGACAACAACAGGAAGATGCTAAACATCTATTTTTCAGTTGTAGTTTTTCAAGGGATGGGTTAGATGCAGTAAGTTGTTGGTTGCAGGTCAAAATACCAGCTAATCAGGCTGGTTGGAGGAGGAGAATACTCTGGATTTGGAAGGCTTCTAAGCTAAAAAGGAAAATATTGTTTGTTGCGTTTGCTGCTCTTATTTATCACCTATGGGAAGAAAGGAATGCCAAATGCTTCACTGATAAACAAAGAACACCAGAGCAGCTAATACGGATGATCAAGCAGGAGGTATTTTGGAGAGTCCAAAGTTGTCATAGGCAGCCTTACTCAGAAGCAGAGAAAGTCAATCTTGGTCTATTATTCTGAGTTTTGTACATATTAGTGTTGGTTCCTAGTTTTGTTAGTGTTATTATGTAATAGAGTTCATTTTGATTGTAAACATGCTCTTCAACGTTTTATGATCAATATATTCACATTTTTACAAAAAAAAAAAAAAAACTTGTGATGAAGGACATATATTTGTATGATGAATACACATATCTACAGAATGAATAACGCATGTTCAAAGATGAATGACATATATTGACAAGATAAATAACACTATTTTATAGGATTACTGACACATATTTACAATTGTGTACAATCACAAATTACATGATGAACAACATCAGTTGTAGCTTGTATCACAATTAGAATGAATAACTAAGCGAAAATAATGAATAACTACAAATAGATGATGAATAAACATTAACAGAAGAAGAAAACATAACTAAAACAACCCAAAATTGATTATAAATAATGATATCGAGATGATGAATAACCGCTAGAAATAGATAATGATGTCAAAATGTGATTTCCAAAATCAATCACAAATCGATGAACAAGACTAAAACATCGATGAACTAACATATTTTAAAGATGAATAATGATATTAAACCGATGAACAAAGCCTAGATCTATTAATGTTTTCCAAAATCAACCACAGATTGATGAACAAAACAAAGAAATTGATGAACTAACATCATTAATCAATGATAAATGATGAATAAACATTTCACAGAAGAAGAAAACATGACAAAACAACCACACATTGATGATGAATAATAATACCGAGATGATGAATAATGCCAGATCTATGAATATTTTCTGAAATCAATCACAAAGCGATGAACAAGACTAGAACATCGATGAACTAACATGTTTTAAAGATGAATAATGATATTAAACTGATGAAGAGCACCTAGATCTATTAATCTTTTCCAAAATCAATCAGATATCGATCAACAAAACTAATCGATGGAAATAATCTCAAATATTTCCCACTGGATAAAACACAAAACAGATCTATTAAACTAATAAACAGAACCTAGATCTATTAATCTTTTCCAAAATTCACCGGAAACACAAACAGATGAATAATCTCAAATCTTACCATAATTCTCATATTCAGCAGCGTATATTGCAACCAAACTCACGAGATTTGATGCATAATCGGATTTCGTCTCCAAAAATACCGCCGACGAGAGGTTTTGATACCAGATCGCTGCAGAGAATATTTTACTTTTTAGATTTTTTTATTTTGAGACGTCTTTGGATTGGAATCGAAAGGTTGATGGATATGATTAATGATGGCTGAAAATTAGGAGAGATATTAGGAAATTGAAAATTTGAAAAATCTTTTTTTTTACCCTCTTTTTGGGCGCGTTAATTTCAAACTAGGTATACCTTGCAAGGTGTACCTAGGAGCTCTATATTATAACTAGTGTAGTATATGCTTTAATGACTGTGTGTGTGTGTGCTTGGTTTGTG